AAATTTCCAATAATTTTAAAATATAAACTTTATTATATTAAAATTAATAAAACAAAAAAGGACAAAGTATAGTTCTTTTTGACTACTTTACAGATTTGATCTAGCTCATTTCGTTTAGGAGTAATAAGAAAAACAGAGTGGCGGAGTTTTGTTGAATGACTAGATATTATTTAAAATGTAAATTATTTAAAAATCGAGATTATATACATGTATAATATTGTTTAATAAATAAATATCAATATAAAAGTTTTTAATCAACGTTAATATTTAACCTAAAATTGTATTTTTTATTCTAGAAAAGTCTATTGAAAATAATTAACTTTAATGTTAAATTCAATTTAATAAATAATGCAAGATCATTGTTGATCTTATGTACAATTGAAAATAAATGACAGTGAATAATATTTAATATAAACTTGTGTTTAATATTTTACCTTACATTAAATTTTATCTAAAAAAATATCAATAGTTTGTATTAAACATAATGAGTCGGATCTTAAAAGCACTGTTTGTGCCGATCGGCGATTACGGCCACACAAATCCATGTATAGGCGCCCACAGCCGCTGATACGGGCCGGACATGCGGTCGCTTTCTTGGTCGACACTAGTCTCCCAAAAACAAGACGTGAATCCTGTAAATTCCTGTCCCGTCCCATTCCTGTACAGGATTGGGACGGGACAGGAAAAGATTTTCCCTATGCTTACAGGAATGGGACAGGACAGGAATGGATAGCTTCAGGACAGGACGGGACAGGAATGGGTTTAAGACAGGAAAATACAGGAAAATGCTGTGAATCCTGTAAATTCCTGTCCCGTCCCATTCCTGTACAGGATTGGGACGGGACAGGAAAAGATTTTCCCTATGCTTACAGGAATGGGACAGGACAGGAATGGATAGCTTCAGGACAGGACGGGACAGGAATGGGTTTAAGACAGGAAAATACAGGAAAATGCAATAAAATATTTTTTTAAAATTAATTTCAGTATTTGTAAGTACTGTATGATATGGTATATGTAAAATACAAAGGGATCCGACTGTACGGCGCCTTCGAGAGCGCATGAGACTCAAAATAAAGCCTTGTTTTAGCCAAACGATAGGCGCCAATGAATATTGGAAGCCTTTATATATGCCGACAGGATTTACAGGAAATCACAGGACAGGACGGGACAGGAAAATATTCTAACATTTAGTACAGGATTGGGACGGGACAGGAATAGATGTCTTCAGGACAGGACGGGACAGGAATGAGTTTTGACTGACATTTGGAGCACTAGTCGACACCTATTGGGAGGGAAAGCTCCGGGAGTTTGGGATCGAAGAATGCATACTAAATACCAAAAGCACAGCTAACACCGAAAACGTGGTGAAAAATGTGGCCATTTCTCTGCTAAACAGGGGCGAAGTCGGACCCAACACATCCATCCAGAAAGTTAGCGGCGATTATCAATCAGTTTTATTGGACAAGATTATTGAATTGGACGAACATCTGGTCACTCTATTGCCCGATCTAAAGCCAGATGTTATATTTGTGGAGCATTATAGACCGATACCGGCCATTGAGTTATCGGGTATACCCTGTGTGTTGATGTCGATTGTTAATCCGTTATTAAAGCGGAGCGACACCCGACTACCGCCATATTTATCTGGTAAGTGTTCAAACTCAAACATCTCATAGAGGTAATATCAAAGGTTTGCGAGCATTTTGGTTTTTCCCAAACTCATGTTATATTGTATGTAAGCAAATCACTAATCGGTATAAATATTAGGTTTATATGTATAAAATGCTGCCTCTCATTGTATAAAATAACAATTATTGTAATAATTTAATTGTTAATTAGGTCTATTACTAACCGGAGGGCCCGCAAAGTGGGATGCGTTCCGTGCGGTTAAAAGCGCTCAGCAAAGTGAGGGCTGGCGTCGGATCGACGACTATATGGTGTCGAGAGGTTGTCAACCGATGAGCGACAGTCCGTTCACTTATAATGACAAATATCTCACTCCCTATGGCTATCCATTTGAGTTGGATTTCCCGCCCGGTGTCGCACAGTTGCCTACAAATGTCATCCGTTTGGATCACTTTATGCGAGCGCCTGAAGGAATTGGCTATGAAATACCGGTGCCGTTGAGGGATATGCCGGGAAAGTTGGTGTACTTTTCGTTGGGATCGATGGGCGCCATAGATGTGGTCAATATGAAGCGATTGGTGGCAATTATGGCCAAATCCATGCACAGGTTTATTGTGTCGATGGGACCCTCACATGACGAGTACGTATTACCGGTCAATATGTGGGGCCAGGAGTTTGTGCCGCAGATACGAGTCCTGCCATTAGTTGATTTGGTTATAACACACGGCGGCTATAACTCCACAATTGAGACGTTTTGTTTTGGCAAACCTATGATTGTTATGCCATTGTTTGCCGATCAATACGACAACGCCCAGAGAGTACAGGAGTCGGGCCTTGGCTTACGACTAGACCCCTACCGGTGCTCAGAGCACGAGTTGTTGTCTGCGATCGACACTCTTTTGAATGATAAGCCATTGAATGAAAAGCTGATGAAAATATCGCAAAGAATACAAACCGATAATAGTTTAGCAAAATTGCCACAAATTATTGCGGATTACGTCGAGAATTATGTTCATTAAAACAATGAGTAGTTATTAATTATTAGTAACTTATAAATAATTTATTACTAATTAAAAATTACTTATTACTATTTAATCAAGAATTTATTAATACTATTTAATTAAAAACTTACTATTACTCTTTAGTCACGAATTTTATATTACAATTTAATCAAGAATTTATTATTACTATTTAATCTCTCTGTGGGGTTTTGGTCTAAAAGCATAGACTGAACTCATGCATCAATTGGAGGGTCTGGGGTTCGATTCCAGGTGAGCCTGTGGTCACCCGTTTCCCTACCAAATGCATTATGTGATCACTTCATACACAGATGAATGGTGTGAATGTTTTTTACCAAGATCTGCTTTTCATCGCACCGGATAGTGATTCACAGACAGCACACAAAACAATAGTCCGCTCAACACATCACCCGAGACCCGATCACATCTCATTCAACCAGAACTACAGCTGATCACTAAACGCCTACAATAGTCAAACTCAATGTCACATTCAATAACTCTGTGTCATTCATTTCTGACACGTTTTTAACATTAGTCCAAGGGAAATTTAAAGCTAAAACGTATAACATTTTTCAAAATTCTTAATAAAATAAAAGTAATTTTAACAAAACTAATTTTTTATTATAAAAACATAAAGTATAGTTTATGCTTATATTGCACCACTAGAGTTTATTAAATTCGCATAACAGATTGCTATTTTACACAACTTTGAAATTAGCTATTAATAATATTTAGAGTTAAAATTTAAATGAAAATTAATTGTGCTAAAATATACTTTAATTAACGGACTTTCAATATAGTATGTCATTGCTTTATAGATCTATTTAGATTTTTATTATAAATTAAAATTTTATCTATTATGATAAAAGTGTTCAAAAATGAACGAAAAAATGAACGAAAAAATGAACGAAACACGGTTTATACTTTGTATACTAGATTAATGGCTAATCAAACCCATATGTATAATCTATAGTTGTATATAAATGTATAAAACAAAAAATGTAACCTTAAAATTTAAAATATATTTAATATATTGAATAAAATGAATAAAAACAAGTATTATTATGTGTTATTGATCATAGTTTCAGATACTAAACTTTTTGAGAATGTGTTCAACCATTAGTTATATTTTCTATTTGCCATCTCTTCGTCATTAGTTATGCCTTTTATATTATTTATACTTATATTAAAGTACAGATGCGTTATGAATGACTAATATAAAGGGCACAACTAATGACGAAGAGATGGCAAAATAGAAAGTATAACTAATGGTTCAAAACACTTTCTCAAAAAGGTATAGTATCTGGAATCCTAGTACATAATATATTACTTAATATTATTATATTTGATTAATTTAGAGTATGAAATATATGTGTATATTTTACCAATATTGCTCAAATGAATAAGTATATTTTTCTATAAATTTCAACAACTTTTGTTTTGTTTTATTAAATTATAATTGCATATTATAATATAATAATGTATTATTATTATTATCTGAGATGTATAGTGTGAATTATATAAAAATCCAGATTATATATAAAATTGTTTAATAAATTAAAGACAATATAAAAGTTTTTAATTAACTTTAATATATTGGTATAACTGATATATGTTTGCCTTTGGATATTTCTATTGTAGCTAGGATAGTGAAATTAATTTTATAATTTAAGGTAACATTCCTAGGCACCAAAAACCAAGTTTCATAAAAATCGGATAATTGGTTATTATCCTGGAAATTTTTTTAATGTGTCAGTCAGCATTAT